TTAGCTTTTATCAAACTCCATCGACACTCAATTTACTGGGGAATGCGGTAGCCGAGCGTTGACACCGCATAAAAGCTGCGACTCGATGATCCGAAAATGAAAATGTTCAGACTAGTGGCCTGTTTGGCGCTTTTTGGCCAGCTCCATGGGCTCTCCTTGCCGCATCTGGTCAAAATCTTCGGCGGCAACGAGGCTCCCATCCAGGGGTATCCTTTCCTGGTGAACCTGCGGCGAGACGGTCGCTTCATTTGCGGCGGCTTTCTGGCTACGCCCAGCTGCGTGATCACGGCAGCCCATTGCCTGCAGGGGCGTCACCGCCAGCTCTACGACTTGACTGTGTCCACACAGCAGCAGTGCCTAGGCGATAGGTCGGTGTCCGACGATGTGCGCCACAGCTGGTTCTCCTTGGTTTCGCCCCACTACCGCCCGTCGCACGGTGTAGACTCGGATGTGGCCATGATCAGGCTGAGGCAACCTTTCAACATTCCCATTGAGAGTCTGCCCCAGATTGACTTCAACGCACTGCCACAAAAAGCGAATCTCACAGTCTTAGGCTGGGGTATGACAAGCAATTATGGACACCACTGGAACCAATGTCTACAGGCGGCACACGTGGGGCTGGTTCCGCAGAACGTGTGCCGCGTCGCCATGAGGCACCCCATCACCAGCAACATGCTCTGCGCTATTGGGGAGAAAGACAAGGACGCCTGCCAGGGTGACTCCGGGGGACCCCTCCTACAGTCAGGCCGTCCCGTGGGCGTTGTTTCCTGGGGCTATGAGTGCGGCGGTGGCTTTCCGGGCGTGTACACCCGCCTCAGTAGCTCTCCCATCAAGCACTGGCTCCAGAGCCTCCTCTCCCGCTACTGCAGTTCGTAATCCAGTAGCGTCACCATCGAAATAAATTAGAGTTAATCTCTTTGGTGCACCTATTGTATGACAGCCGACTAATTCGATTATAATCACTTTAAAAATTGATTGATTGTGGGTTGCGATGGGTCAGACGATCAACTGACGATCAGAGGCTCCACAGACTGAGCACGGAATGGAGTGGCTGTGGATGCTCTGCATCGTACAAACCGCGATGGCTTTCGCTTCCAGTGGACCCCGCATTGTGGGTGGCAAGGAGACGAGCATCGCACAGTTGCCGTACCTGGTGTATCTTCGGCAGGGAGGCTTCTTCCTCTGCGGCGGCTCTCTGCTCTCGCCCACCGTCGTGCTCAGTGCGGCGCACTGCGTGTATGGGGCCCAGCCCGAGGACTACACGGTCCACGCCGGTGCCAGTCGGCTGGATGAAGCCGCGCCCGTGGTTCGCGGCGTAGCCAGCTTCCGGCTCGCACCCAGCTACTCGCCCACCAATTTCGACATGGACGTGGCCATGCTGCTACTGAAGGAGCCCGTTCCCCTCTCTGACGGCAGAGTGGCTACTATTGCTGCATGCCGTAACCCACCGGAGAGCAATGCCTATGCAAGGATCAGCGGTTGGGGAGTGACGCGCGAGAACAACCGAGAACCCGCCGTCCAGGTTCGTACGGCCATGGTGCGGATGCTGTCCGCCGCAGAGTGCCGGCTGTCCTATGCCGGAATGGCCAAGCTAAGTGATTCCATGATTTGCGCCTCGGTTCGAGGCCTAAGGGACTCATGCTCCGGCGACTCGGGAGGTCCGCTCGTGTATCGCGGTCAGGTGTGCGGCATTGTCTCCTGGGGATTTGGCTGCGCCCGACTGGCCTACCCAGGAGTGTACACCAGTGTGGCCAGTGCCCGAGTGCGCTCCTTCATCGAGAAAACGTTGCAGGAGATTGGCAGCTAGCTTTGCTGATTCTCATATCCCCCCTGCAAGGTCAGTAACGTTGTAGAGTTATGGGAGCGAGTAAGCTCTGGCAGGGCTTCAATTTCAATTCGAATTCCATTTGGCTGATGAGGTCGTCGCGATAATCCAGACAAAATGGTTTGATTAAAGTAATTATTATTTGCGCAATAAAATAATACTTGTGGGGGTGCTCTGTAATGATTACTTCCTAAAAGACCCAATTCCCACACAAATATAAAGCAAAGCAAACAGACGCGCGCCCCGAGTCGGAACTGGAAGCTGTGTGCACAAGTGAGCAGCTGCTGCTCGAAAACACAGCCGCAAATACTCGCATTTTCTGTGTTGAAGCGCCGGACGGGAACGCTTCTCCGATGCCAACAGATGCCCGTGGCGCTCTGGCACCACCTGCTCCTGCTTCTGCTCGAGCTACATATCTGTCTGCTGACATTTGTAGTGGCCAACAACGAGGCCAACGGGCGTATTGTTGGCGGTATTCCGGTGGACATCGGTACCGTACCCTATCTGGTAAATCTTCGCATTGGAGGAAGCTTTATTTGCGGCGGCTCGCTGGTCACAGCCACGCACGTGGTCACGGCGGCGCACTGCGTGAAGGGAGTCGGAGCCGCCAGGATCCAGGTGGTGGCTGGGACCACGCGACTCACGGATCCTGGCGTTAGGAGCGTCGTAGCCAAGGTATACACTCCCAAGGCGTATAGCAGCCGCACCCTGCACACAGACGTCGCTGTGCTGAAGCTTAAGACGCCTCTGACCGGGCCGAAGATAGCTACCATCGAGCTGTGCAACTCCAGCTGGAACGCCGGTGACTTGATCAAGGTCTCCGGCTGGGGACTAGTCTCGGAGCGCAGCAAGAGTGTCTCCGCGCAGGTGCGCAGCGTGGACGTAGCTCTGATCCCTCGCAAGAGCTGCATGAGCAAGTACAAGCTACGGGGCACCATCACAAACACCATGTTCTGCGCCTCCGTGCCGGGCGTAAAGGATGCATGCGAGGGAGACTCGGGCGGACCCGCCGCCTACCAGGGCCAACTGTGCGGCATCGTCTCGTGGGGTATAGGCTGTGGGCGCCGCAACTCACCCGGCGTCTATACGAGTGTCAAGACTGTTAGAAGTTTCATCGACAAGGCATTGAGTATGTAAGCAAACCCTACCCAATAAACCTTCTAAGCACACGCATTCTGGAACAGATTCGTTGTCTAATAGATACCCCAATTCACCCTTATAATCTACTCGTAGCATGGAAAGTGTTGTACTCACCGCTATTCCTTAGGGCACCAGGCACACTGATGTGTACACCCACATTCATGAGGTAGACATTGAAGGGATTGCATATGTTTATCACAACTGGATAATACTCGTTGACCAGCATTCTCGGGGCGACCGCTGGCTCCCCGTCCATGCCATTGGCATGCCCATGGCCGAGGTGTGTTTGCGTGACCAAATGGAAGCTGCAACAAAAACATGTTGTTCGGTGGAGCATTAAATGATAGATTGTGGCATGCAATCGTCCGGAAATCTATTTCAGCTTCCGGTACGAATCGGTTTGACCTACGTGGGCGCAATATAGCAAATGGGATTGATCGTCACGTTGTCATCGAGATCGCGACTGCGCGTGTGGTGTCGAAACGGCTGGCGTGTATAACTAGAGCTGCACGTGAGCAGGGCGCCAATTTGATCAGTTCCCATTAAAGCCTCAACACGGACAATGTGCAGCTGGGTGTTTTCGTGGAATTGCTTTGCTTCGGTGCTGCAGAAGAACTGATAGTAAGAGCCTGGCTCCAATATCATGTTTTTCTCGAATGCCTTCGGCTGATCCACTGGTCCCCGCTGAGCACGCAGCTGCAGGAGATGGGGAAAGCAGAAGTACTTTTGCGCCTCCAGTTTGTAGTTGTTCTGGCTGTTTCCGGCATCGGCAAGCACCACATGGAAGCTCCGTATCCTCAAAGGCACGTCTGTTAGCACACTAGAGAGCAGTTCAAAAATCAATTATTATACTAATTATTTCCATTGGAATTGGAGCCAGCACTCACCGGACTATGAGCTGCAGCTGCAGCACATCGTCGTTGTTCAATTGCACTCGCTCGAATGTGGCACACATCTCCACGACGTCGCTGACTTTGTCGAAATCGATTGGAATGGGAGATTTCACGCTGGACAATGCACTGGTCCACAGGGACAGAGACTCTTCGGTTAATTGAGTTCTGGGCATTGGGGGCATACCCTGGTAGACCTGCCAGAGGTTATCCAGCAGCAGAAGCCGATCTTTCTGCTCGCTTTGATGGCGCAGGGACAGCGCTTCAATGCTGCACGCTATGTAGTCCGCCACGGAGGCTGAGAGTAGTGCACACCGCAGGGTCTTTAGCAAGACGTCGGTGAAAATAGTCGACCACTTCTCTTGGCGATAATCGGGCAGCATAAGCGAATACAGACTGCAATAAACAGCATTAAAATAAAGGTACTCATTCAAGCATTCAAAACTCACGTCAAAGCCTTGGCATGATCGCCACTTTGTAAGTACTCCTCGGCCATATCAATGGCTAGTTTCTTTCTAAATCTGAGGCACTTGTAGATCTTGAACTGCGCCATGGCCTGGCTTAGTAGAGCTATAATGCCCGCTGAATGGTTGTAGCCGCGTTCCTGTTCACACAGATGTACATTGGCCTGCTGTTCGGCTGCAAGATCACCAGTTTTCACGGCACGTATGCCAAAGAACTCGGTGTACAGCGACAAAGGGTTGGGGTTGATCGTTGCCATCGCTGCCTTGCCTGAGTCGAGCAACGCGGCAAAGGCTTGCTGGGCTGCATCGCGTCGTTTCATCACATACTCGGCTGACTTGTGGTAATAGATGCCGGGATGCTGAGTCTGCAGAGCAGGCAGTCCATTCTTGATGGCCTCACAAAACAGTTCGGCGAACACAGAGTTTCTGAAAGAATGGTTGCACCTGCAAGTACTCTTATATGAAGAATCGAAATAATTATCGGTCTTACTGCGTGCTTAGCCAGGCATAGTGCTCAAAGGCCAAATCCTTGAACCCTACGAGGGGCTTGTACTTCTCGACATGAATGATGAACTGGTTGATGGCATCCCGCGGGGTCTTTAGCTTAAACATGAGCCGACAGATTTTGTAGTTGAGAAACCCGGCCAGCGTTTTGATTTCCACGCAATTACTATCGTTGATGCGGATCTCGTCCAGAATTGCATAGGCTTGGAAGTAGTGTCTGCGAGGGAATGAAATTGATTTGATGCATGTAAGACTTAGGAAACAAAACAAACTTACTTCTGGGCGGTGCTAAAGTCTTGCCGCATCTCCGCCACAAAGCCGAGCTTGAACTGGTGCCGTATCTTGAGGGTAGTATGCGCAGCCGACAGCTGGTCTCGATGATTACGTATTCTCTTTGACATCTGAGCGTAGTAGGACTGGGCCATGTCCAGGAACGCGGACTCCAAGCGCAGCGTGTAGCCCATGAGGTGCTCCGTGTGGGGAAGTATAAATAACATTTTGCTGGTTATGCCGCAGGCTGAGGTCAAACTTGCAGCTCGCTCGGCGGCCACCTGCTCACCGGCCACCGGCTCACCTGGAGGAAGCGGCGCCGCCTTCTGCAGAAGCACCAGGCATAGTCTAGTGTTTCGCTCTTGAAGAGCATTTTTTAAAGCCTGCACTGTGCCCGCACACTGCACCTGTTTCTCCGTCCATTGCAGATCATTCCACTCCATGTCCTGAAACAGCACCACCACAGAGGGCAGCACATGCAGGTGCTTAAGCATCCAGTTCCGCTTCAGAATGCCCTTGGGGTGGTACCACTCGTAGGAGGCCCGCTTGGGCTTTGCCACTGGGAACTCATAGTTCGGAGGCAGTAACTTGTACTGGACCGCAGCGCGATCCGCCGCTTTCCGTTGCAGACTCCCGCTAAACGCCTCCCAGATGGCCTTGTGTACGCCCTGACGCGCTGTGTCCAGGCCGCAGAATCCAATTAGTGGCTGGGGGGTCACGAGCAACTCCGACGGCAGAGCGGTGGCATCAATCGTCATAGTTTGTGTTTTTGTGATTGTAGTTTAGTGCCCTTCCTGCCTCAAGACTGCTCGCGAATTACAGTAAGTGGTAGCTTCACGTGTCGCACCGACTTATACCACTGCTAATATGTACTTTCAGGACTTTCAGGCTACGTCCGGCCTCAGGGCTCCAATTTCTTTTACGGGTTTTATGCAAAAAAGTGTAAATAATAGCCGCACCAGAAATCAGCTGGACGTCGATTGTCGATAACCCTTCCATGTCCATTCACGTAACGTTGTATGCCATTTTTGTGTTACTAAACTCTTTAGTATTAAATTTATTTGGAAAAACTACAAGAGAAAAAATGTATTGAAAAATCGGATAAGCCAACTAGTAATATTAAACAGAAGATCTAAAGAGAGGAAAATGATTTAAGATTTACGGTATATTAACCGTATATTTTGAAAATGAAAAGGTATTTTCGGTATATTTTTGAGGGTCGTGAGGTATATTTGATCGATAAGGTCCGCGGGCACACTGCCTACGTGTCGTTTTTTGGAAAGGTAAGCTGGGCGTGCTGGGAATTGTTAGAAAAGTAAGGAAAGATTTAAAATCTGAACAAACGAATTTGAAGTGCGACAGAAAGAATATCAGTCAAGTCTCTAAACTGCAATTGAAGGAAAATAAATGTATAACGCAACTCTTTTTATTTCGTAGCGCTTCACAACAACCGAGAAAATGGCTCCTCCACAGAGAATGCGCGTCGCCAACGAGAAGGCCAGCAAATATGTGACAATGCGTGGCAATGTACCGAAATCCTCGGTAAGTTCCAACTGATATAAACCTGCACCAAAGATGCATGCACCTGGCACGAACCTAGCGTGATGCATTCAATATTAAAAAGTGCCACGCCGTCATTGATTTTATTATTGCTTGCTGCCGCTGTGTGCGTGTGTGCCAGTGTGTTTATGTGTGTGGAAGCTGGTGTATGGGTGGCGAATGTTATCACTTATTTGGGAGCAAGTGATTAGCTGTTGCGCTCGTCAGCAATGAATGTGCATATCTGTGATGCCTTGAATAATTCTGATGTATTATTGGCATTTTCAGAAGGCGAAAGAGGGACAGTACCCCGTGGGACCCTGGCTCTTGGCGCTGTTCATCTTCGTTGTCTGCGGCTCGGCTATTTTCCAGATCATTCAGTCTATTCGCGCTGCGTAGACAGTTTCATGTGACAGACAGTAGAAATAAAAACAAAACTTATTTCTGGAACTCCGGATCTAAATTCTATATCCTTCCCAAAAATCCTTTAATAGCTGAATTAAAATTATCCCCGGAAATATGTGCAACGTCCGCTGAGATGACCCCAAATCTTGGCCTTCCACTTCATTTTATGTTTGCAATATGAAACTCTGTAAAGTCCATTACACTTATTTTGAATTACTTCTAAGCTCACAAAACTAAACATGTGCATTCCTGCAACTCTCTCTGTACACTTACGAATTCACTGAACTATTGCTGATTGTGTGCTGGTGGCAGGCACAATTTGATTGACGATTAAGCTTAAGCTTGGTTTTCAAAAGTGAAGACGAATAGAGAGTAAATAAGAGTACATAAATAATAATGATGAATAATATATGATAATTTTTTACCTAAGCTCTACGACTCCATTTTGGTAGGGGATTTTCAATCTCTTTCGATTTAGACTGTCCCCGCACATGGCACACATGATCTCTAAGAGGAGATCTCATTTGGTATTCCACGAATATGAATCTAATTTATAGATCCGCGTGCGACTGGTACGAATCACTGTAATATACGTGTACGTTAACGGCAGAGCCTTTTCCTATTCACAATAGACAGGGCCGTGCCGAACCCTGATCGAAATGCACGAATGGGTAAGAAACATTTCAGTCTACGAAAAGGTCAGACAGCTATGAAAACAAAATTTTAAAATTAATTAAATTAAAAGGTATAGATCCAGGTCCTTCCTCCATGAAGATTTTGTTGATTTGTAGCAATTGTGTATTTACCATGAGCAAATATTAAATTTAGTTTAAATCTTATTTATATACAATCAAAAAAAAAGGTGTTCTTTAAAATAAGCTAAATGGTATAGATCTGATTTGTCAATATCAATTTTCATAGGTATATTTTTTAAAAGATTATACAGTATAATATATTGACA